AGAATAATTTAAAATGACCCTGGTGAGGGGCTATTTCAAAATAGCAGAAGTGGAGCATCTGCATGTGCTTTATTTCAAAATAGCTATGTCAGAATAAGTGTTATTCCTCATAGAATGAGGTTTACAGATTGTGGAATAAGCCATCCGTTATTTTGAAATTATTGCAAAATAACAGAATGGCTGTGTAGACGTTCGCATTGTTGTTTCAAAATAATGCTAGTTATCTCAAAATAACAAAGCAATGTAGACGCACCCAGTGAAAATAAGTGTAATGAAAAATGAGTAGCAATAGTATTTTCTCATGTCTTCCCATGCTAGCATTTCCTGAGATTAGGAAAAATCCATGATCCAATTCAAAAACTATGCTTAAGGAAGGAGAAAATCTTTGCAAGGTAAAACCATGTTAAGACCCATTTTAATGCAATGCAGTAGGGATCAGGATAAAACTGCTGGGATGTAGATCTGATTATAATGTAATTGCAGTGGAAGAAAGGGAAATATTTAGAGCCCTACCAAATTCATGGTCCATTTAAGTCAATGTCATGGTCATAGAATTTTTAAAATTGTAATTTTTATTATTTCAGCTATTTAAATTTGAAATGTTATGATATTGTAATGATAGGGATCTTAACCCAAAAAGGAGAGTGTGTGGCGGGGAGAGTTGCAAGATTATTGTAGGAGGTGACTGTGGTACTGTTGTTTTTCCTTCTGATAGCAGCACAACCTTGAGAGCCTAGCAACTGGAGAATGGTGGCTGCTGGCTGGGAGCCCAGCTCTGAAGGCACAGCTGCCACCAGCAGCAGCACAGAAGTAAGGCTGTATTGTCGCCCTTACTTCTGTGCTGCCACTGGTGGGGCGTTGCCAACAGCCACTCCTCTCCAGTCATCATCCTGAAATAAACTTATGATCCACTACAGGCAGTCCCCGAGTTACGAACAGGGCTTTTCTCGCCCCGGAGGACGGGAGCGGCGGGACGCCCAGATGTGCCGCGGTCCGCCGCCCCCATCCTCCGGGGCGAGAAAAGCTGCTCCCCGTCTCCCTGGTCTGCAGGGAGACGGGGAGCAAAGCCTTGGAGCACGCCCGCAGCGGGACAGCCCAGGCGCGCTCCAAGACTTTGATCCCTGTCTCCCTGGTCTGCGAGACCAGCAGACCAGGGAAATGGGTAGCAAAGCCTCGGAGCATGCCAGCAGTGGGACAGCCGCTGTGCGCCTGGACTGTCCCGCTGCCCGCGTGCTCTGCGGCTTTGCTCCGTGTCTCCCAGGTCAGCAGACCAGGGAGACGGAGCAAAGCCGTGGAGGACTTGGGCGGTCCCGCCACCCCTGTCTCCCTGGTCTGCTGGGGGGGTGCAGCTAGTGCCCCTCCAGCAGACCAGGCTTCTCTTGCCTACCCCTGGGGTAGAGCAGCTGGGGGCTTCCGGGTTGGTCCCGCAGCGCTGCTCCGGACCAACCCGGCAGCACCCCAGCCGCTCTGCCCCCGGAGTCCTGATTCAGGCGCCGGCGGGGCGGTTCAGACA